TTGTCATACATCCACAACCTCCGGACAGTATGAGAAGGACTCATCATCATCATCATTAGACATCAGGTCTTCTTGCTCTTCAGTCATTCTGCCCGGTCTTTTCTGTTTTTGCTTGCCTTTTTTTTTATAATTCTCACTTTTAATAATTTTTTTCACTTGTAGAATGCTCGATAGGTTGATAGATTGTAACAAATTGTGTCTGGACTTTTTAGGGCTGGGTGTGTCTGGGCGTGGCCTACTCTGTGCACACAAATCCCCAGTGCGGTCACAACAACCCGTCAGCAGCAGCAGCAGCAGTTGTCCAGTTGCAATGCCATGCAAGCCAAACAAAATCAAACCGAAACCACAACCGAAACCGAACCAAACCCAACCGAAGTGAACCGCAGTGCGCATTTGCAGTTTAGTCGGTTAACCGCTTTTATAGCGGATTTAACGCATTTTCTGTATTCTGGAACTAGCCGGCCTTTGCGCCCTCGCCGAGAGTCGTTTGTACCAAAACATGCCAAAATGTTTGAATCGAACAATCAACGCGAGGCGCTTCAATGTCCGCCACACCGCGTGGCTACGTGCATTTTCCATTTTCCATTTTCCACTTCCCATTTCCCATTTCCCAGTTGAGGCCAAGCCTCGTATGTCAACTGTGCATTCATTTCGTAGAGTTTCAATTGCTTTATTTCTCTGCCAACTGGCTGACATTGTATGAAAGTTTTGACTGCTGCCTGTTGACCGCCTTTCAATATTATTTTGTTGAGACTCCTGCGCCACAAGCTGCCAATTTTGACACTTGAATATAGTGGATGTGTGTGTATGCAATTTCATTAGGACTCTAAATTGTAGAGGCTGTAGTGACTGAGAGAAGTGCAGCAGCAGCAGCACCAGCTGCCGTGGACCAACTGTGCAAAGGCGAAGCTGGAGTCTCTGTGGAATTTGGTGCAGCTTCTCATCGAGGTGATATGGTAGAGTTAAGGAAGCCTTGATTATGGCTACACATATGGAAGATATATAAAGATAAGCTGTGACTTGAGTATGTATAAAGCAGGCTTTGACTGGTAGAGTCAATAGAGGCACTCCAACTTCCAATTAGAAATCTAGAAGCTTGTTGGATATTCCTTTTCACATACTGTATATAATTCTGAATGTAGAGAATAAAGAATTTAAAATTTAATAAAGCGAAAAATCCCAATTATATTTAATTTGTTAACTATGCTCGATTTGTTAAATTTATATAATTTTTTTTACTTATTTTTTTTTTTAAGATATAATTATTATTTATTATAATAAAATAATCCACAAGTAACAATAATATTAAATTAATTTACTTTTATTTTGAAATTAAAATTTTGTTATAGTGAGATCTAAATTAAATATATATTTTTAAAGCTCTTGCTGCTATTCCTATGAAACATATTACATTTAATAACATTAGCTTATGTCACAGTTGAGTTCTTTGAAAACATATCATATAATATTTACGTTTCTTTTGTAATATAAAAGTATTTATTTTATTGGTAAATTGCAAATTATTCTTATAAATTTCTTATGAACTCCTTTCTGCCATGCGAGTAGCCAAGAATTGTATTTATTTTTTGCCTCTTTCCGAAATATTGATTCAGTAGAAAATATTTTCGTTCAATTGTCTGTTGCTGCATGCAAAATATATTACGCATATTTTTGTTGATTTTGCTGTATGCCATCATATTGCCTCGCACATTATATGATATTGAATGTTCTATGCTGTATATCGCATTGTTGTTATTTCTGACAGATGTTATATATGCCTGTATATGTGCGTACTGCCTCTCTCTCTCCCTCCCATTCTTTCCTTCCCTTTCTCCATGTTTGTACATGTATGTGCCAACATTTATCCATTAATTTGCGCAAATAAAGTTGCCACAACATACGCGCACTCACGAAACCGCAATTGAATTGGGGCAGACGGACAGAGAGGAAGAGGGGGTGAGTGAGAGGGAGATATGGAGTCGTTCTATCTCCGTTTGGCACAGCCAATATGTAAGGATACGCTGAAAGGTAAACAATTTTAATTTATTTGCCCAATAATAAACCCATCAAATAGCAATGGGTGGGTGGGTCACGCGCACACACACGCATACACACATGCACAGAGAGAGCGACATTCCCTATTGAAATATACAAATCAAATATGTTAACACGCATACGCCCCGTTAACAGTTCATTGTGGGCGTCGTATATGCGACTGTATATGTGTATGTGCACATGTGTGTGTGTGTGTGTGCGTGCGCACGTGTGAATACATACACGTGTAGCCGTACAATAATAGATCGCAAATTAAAGCGCATCGCTGGCAGGGGAGGAATGTGCGCACAAAGGTGTCTAATAAGCCGCAATGGCAACAGCTGAAAGCCAAGAAATGTAAATAATATTCTATATATATGTATATATGGAGAGAGTGGAATATATTTAAGTGAGCTCTAAGCTCTCGAGCTTAATTACCATGCACGATTGTGTCCATCAACTGCCATAGTTCAAGGACTCACATGTGTTTAACTCTTGGGTCTGCAAACTTTTTGTCTGTCAACTTTGCTGCAGCGATTCATTTGCTCAGTGGTCAAAAACAAGAAAAGATAGAACAAAGGCTGAGACGTCATCATCGCAGCAGACTTAACATGTTGTTATGCTTGATTCCTCTGGCAGCTGTCTTGTTCTCAGCTGATTGCAATTTTTAATTGTCAAACGCAGTCGAGTGACAAATGAACGCAGCTCCTTCATGCAGCAGCAGCAGCAGCAGCAGCAGCAGCAGGAGCAGGAGCAGTGGCAGCAGCAGCAGCAGCAGCAACAGCAACATCAGCAGCAGCAGCAGCAACAGCAGCAGCAACAGCAGCAGGAGCAGCAACAGCAGCAGCAGGAGCAACAGTACCTTTAATGACAACTGATATTTTATTAAAGAAATGCAACAGCTGAGCAATGGCTGTCGGCGCACGAATTGTTTTTCCAAAACGTTGAAAAATGTATGACCTGAAGAAGCAAACAGAGAAAAAGAGAGTGAGAGACTGATAGAGTGAGAGAGGGAGAAGCAGGATGAGCATCAACTGCAGCTGGACACAGCAGGAGGCAGCAGGAGGCAGCAGCGGGCAGCAGCAGGAAGCGAATCGCCCACTTGAAGCACTTGACTGAAATACATCCGATTGTCATCGCCGGATGCCCAGATCTAAAATGCAAATGAAGCTGTCTCGCAATTTCATTTTCGGGCCTCAGCTCGTTGGCTCGGGAGCGGGAGCGGGAGAGGGAACGGGAGCGCCCGCTGCATTTAATTAGACATTAATATGGAATGCTTTTAACGCTTTGCTGCGGTTAAGTGAAAGTTCGGCTTTAGAGCTTAAGCCGGTGCTAAGTTGAAAGCCGTCGCGCGCCTTCGCATTTGCATTTTTGCTTTGGTTCACCCTCGATTGGGTTGACTAGGCTGATTCCCGCCCACCCTTGGCTGGCTGGGGGCTGGCTTCACGGGTATTTGGCCCCCAGCGGGGTTGCAGCTAAACAATTTATTGTTTCAGACGGATTCGTTGTGCCAAAATTCGATTACTGGTAAATTGCCCATTGGCCAATGAATGGGCCCGGCTGCCTGACAAAAGCGCAGCATAATTGAATTAAAAGCATGGCAAAGCTCAAAAGCCTTCCCCACCCCGCCCGCAATGATTAACGTTTTAAAGCGTGAAGTGATTAATCGGCGGGCGGCAAAACGAGAGTAAACCAAACGAATGCGACAAACATCAACACACACACTCATACACACATATACACACAGCCTACTTACAGGCAGTGCAATAAAAACTCGTTATTCATGGCTTTATGGATGAGTTTCGCTTTTAATTGCATAGCATTAATTAATTTAATAGCAAACATATATGCATTTGTTTTTTCAAAGGAATGGAATTCGTGATACGCCTCCTTTATGAGATTCCTTTGGGTGTTTTATGGCTTTCAATTATATTTGCGAATTGCTTTAATATTCTGATAAGTAAAACTTTTTATTATGTTGTTTTTCCTGTTGTTTTCCTTTCTAATATTTTTTCTCTTTCCCTCTCTCTCTCTCTCTCTCTCTCTTTCTCTCTTCTAATGTATGTTATCTCTCTGTCTATCTCACTCTCTCTCTGTCTTACTAAAGACGTCAGTGAATACTATTTTGCTCTCTGCCGAGTTGGTGTTTTCATTTCCCACTCGTCTTCATTTCCAGTTCATACATAACTTGCCTTGCTCCTTATCGCTCTTCGTTTCTCTCTTATGGTCTTCCTTTCCATCTAACTCCCTCTATCCATATCAGTTCCCTCTTTAGTTATAGTCCTTCTATGTAATTCTCACACTTCAATTCTGTCTTCTCGATATATTTTATATTAATTTCAATAATTATGCAGCATTCAAAGTAATTTTCCACATTTATTCTTCTTCCCATGAGAGCAAACGAATAGTTCTATCATCTGTTCTATGTTCTATGTTCTATGTGAATTTCAATTATCATTTAGAATTTACTTTTTTATTGCTCTTGTGGCCGAACAAACTTTGCAAATCAAATAAACTTCAATGGGGGAAAAAATGCTGAGTTACTGCCAGCCTGAGGTCTGCTTGAGAGCTCGAAGAATTAAGTGAATGGAATGGAGAACTGTTAAGAAAACTATGTCAACTAAAGATATGCACTTACGTATTTAGTATTTTTATTTGTATTTGTACTTGTGTGTGGGATGCGAGTGAGTGAATGAGTGAGTTTTCCGAGCAATGTGCAATGCCAAATGGAGGCGATTGAAAGTTTTCCAGTTCTGTGTTTTCTGTTGATTTTGGTATCGAACGAGGCTCGAAAGGATTTTTGTATTTTTTATTTCGCCACGCACCGAACGCAGTGAGCTATGATCGAAATAGTTATTTCTGATAGCACTTCAGACAAGTAAGAGTACAGAGAAAAAAAGCATCAAATTTGTATTGTTTTCCGCCATTTTTCGGGTTTCAGATATTGATAAGTTAACGCACACACAATGAATGCCGACAATTGCCGCCCGACGTGCCTGGAGATATACGAGGCCATACGTAAGAGCAAGGAGTACCGTTATATCATATATCGCCTCGTTTCGGACTCGGTGGTCGACGTGGAGACCGTCGGCCCGCGCGACAACGACTATAACCAGTTCCTGGAGGACCTGACACGGAACGGTTCCGTCGAGTGCCGCTACGGTGTCTTCGATCTGGAATATAGCCACCTGTGTGAGGTGACCAAGCAGGAAATCAAACGGGAAAAGCTAGTGCTGCTCTGCTGGTGCCCCGACGATGCCAAGCCCAAGGGCAAAATTCAATATCTGAGCTACTTGCGCCAGTTCATGGATCAGCTGAAGGGCGTCCAGTACTACAAGACGGTGCGCGATAAGTTCGAGCTGTCGCGCGATTCCGTCGAGGGTTACTTTTGTAGAAAGAGTACTAGGCAATAAAGGAGTGGGACAGAGAGGGGCAGGCTGTGATACATCATTATACATTTACGTTAACCTACAACGTTCTACTCATTGGTTCATTGAAATTTGAAGTTGCATTCCATTAAATTTATTTCATGCTACGAGCTATTAATGTCTGAGAGAATCGGACGATTTTAGCTATTTAGCATGAATTTAAAAATTGTTATTTGTAAAGCATTTTTAAAATAAAGTAAATTATGAAATAATACTATCGAATCGGATCAGCTTTAATCTTCTCATGCGGTAATCCCTTCGTTTTCTATATAAAGTTTTAAATTCAGCGCAGTGGAAGGCGTGAGGAGGGGGTGCAGCAATTGCTGCTGTTTATTTGTTTTACAATTTACACCGCCAAGGACAACTGATCGCAGGGCGTTGACAAGGACACTGCGCAGCAAGTCGCTTTCAATTTAGCAGCAAACAGCCAAAGTTTTCACTGCGCTGGACAATTCGCAAGCCAAGGAATGGGCGACTGGCTGGCTGGCTGACTGTCTGACTGGCTGGATATACTGCAACGCGCTAACATAAAAAGCCAAGTGGAAAAAGCAAAAGTTTCCACTGACACCGGAACGCCACAAGTAAAAGGTGTTACTTGTCCTCGAAGCTGTGTAGCAGCAGCAGCAGCAGCAGCTGAGAGCGAGGCTGGGGAGTCGCAGGAGCGCCGCGCTGCGTTATGCACCCGGTCCATTGTTTTGTAATGGAGAAATATTGTTTAGCATGCGGCGACAGAAGTAAAGAACGAACATTGACAGCCAGAGGAAGCACAGAGGGGATAGGGATAGCGGCGCCACAGATAGCGGCTGAGGCGCACCACACGTTTACAGGCGTGGCGTCGAGGCATCAAGGCGTCGAGGAGCGCAGCTGCCCCCAGCAAGTTGCGCTGCCGCTTGGAATATTATGCATAATGGTTTTTGGTCTATTGACATTTATGGCATTGGACTACTGCAGCGCGACTTCGGCATCCAGTTCGCTGTGCGCAGTGCGAAAGTTTGTCGCGGCCAAAGTTAAAGTAGAGTTCCTTGTTTGAGGTTACTTAGCTGGCAATGGAAACGAAAGTTAAAAGCCATGCAATTGAAATGGATACGGGAAAGGCGAGTAAACGAGGCCAACGAAGCCAACGAAGCCAGCGCATTGGCAGGTGAAAGCTGCTTATGTGCACCAGAGAAGTAGAAGAAGAAGAAGCAACAGCAGCTCATATTAAATTATTTACTAATAGCATTAAAAAATCTCACAAACTCTCATAGAGCTCAAAGGGCGATAATAACTTCAGCATTTCTTTGTAGGGAATCAGCAGAAGCAGATGTTGATGTTAATATATTGAAGACATAATTATGATATACAAGCATTAATATTTTATATTCATATTTTATTTTATTTTAATTATTAATTTTAAATTACATACTTTGATTAAGAAATATACATTTGGTAGTAAAAAGCTATTTTATTAAATTAAAATAGTTTTGTATACTTTTTACTTATAATAATTTATAATTTAAATAATAATTAATGTAATAAGAACTATTAATTTGATCACAATAAATAAATAAATAAATAAATATTAATATAACAATTAATAATAAAAAATAATTTTTAATCAAATAAATTATTTATAATTATTTTTTATTTATATATTAATCATATTAATCTTGAATCAACATATTAAAAAATTATAGTTTATAATTTCGTTTATTGAATAATTATCAGATGGGCCATCATTTAATAAAATACAATAAAATGAATATTCTTTTTATGCTTTTTTTTTCTACTTTTTTTAAATTTTAAATTAAATTTTAAATTTTGTATATTTTAAATTATTAATATTTTTAAAAATATTTATTTCACTTTTAAATAATTATCTTTATCATCTTTGTCTAGTTCTAGTTCATTTTATTTATCTTATTTTTATTTTTAATAATTAATTTTATACAACTGCCATATATCTAAAAATAGATATATTTCAATCTAAATAAATATGTAAATTTGTAATAAATTTTCATGGGGTTTTCTATATCTTTGTATTTTTTTTTTCCCCCAAATAATAATGTTATCGTATATCCATATGTCATGTATGTAAATAAATAACTTAGCAGAAAAGGACTATGTATTAGCCTAAACTCTTCAAACATTGTAAAATACCATTCACAACATCATGTAATTATAATAAAGAGTGAAATAAATTGAAATTGAAAATTGAAAAAATGTAATTTAAATTGATACTAACTGCCCTGTTTAGCCTTTACTCTTCGCTTAACTTTGATGGCATTTAGTCTGATACTAACGCGAGTACTTAACCCACATCTATGTTCTATGGCCAGTAATGAAATCAAATTAAGTCGCTCAGTCATTTGGCTGCCAATTACGAGCTTGAGCTACATAAATCCTGCTCATATCATTAAACTGCTCAACACACACGCGCGCTCACACACACACACACACACACACACACACACACACGCACACACACACACACACACACGCACACACACACGCAAATCGTTGCTGACCAGAGTCCAATGCACTATCATGAAAAATGTATTCAATTTAAATTTGCCAATTAAGTTGGCCTGGGGCTAGTCGAACTAGTCCAAGCATTCGCCGAGTCCTGTAAATATGACAATTTTTCAACAAACTAAACTAAACGCTGACAACGTTTACGGGGGGCTAAGGTGTGGGTAGCACCCCTGTCAAATGGAAATTTGCAGGCGGCCGGCCAACAGAGTCGTTTGTTTGGTGGCATAAAAAGCATTTTGAATAATAAATGCATAATTCCTAGATACAAAAGCGCGTGCCATAAATATTCCATGATAAATTATAGAAAAGCTATTAGGCCAAACAAACGATGGCGCACCCAAGCCGGTTCCGTCTCCTGCTGCCGTCCGACCTCGCCCACGATTTAATGGCTGGACTGCGTTTGACATTTTTCAAATGAGGCTATGTGGAACCCAAAACAGTTAGGCATGTGCATTCACTCTGTGTGTGTGTGTGCGTGTGTGTGTGTGTGTGGCAAAGGTAGTGTGTGTATCAGTGCTTTTATTTATGTAAATTTGCGTAAATTACCATGAAAATATTTACGGTAAATAGAGCATTTTAAATATTAAAGGTAAATAGAGTTGGGCAGGCTTGTGTGGGCACCTGTATTTGACTTCAGCTCGAGAACTGCTTTGAGCTGCAGTTCCAGACCGTCGACCGTCGGCTGTCGGCTGTCGAGCGTCGCCCCTGCTGAGTTTGAAAAGAACTGCAACATACAAGTTGCAGGCTTTGCATTTAACACAAATGTAAACACGAAACCGGAAACGGAAGCATCAGCACTCAGCACTGAATACCTTTGACGACATGCTGAACAGCGAGAACAAAAATATATCACAAAAAGAAAAAATCAAGCACAAATGCAAATGCAAATCGCATATCGTAAACAGAGCTGCAAGAAAGTCGACTTTTTGCCTACTCTAGCGGGTGAGCGAACGAAGGCATGGAAACTTCTCTTATGCTTAAAACCTGAGATAAGTTTCTAAGCCTGACACTGTTGGAAATATCGATGTTGATGTCCGCCAAATAGACCTACACTTGTATTTGTATAGCCACGTATGCTGCTCTCTTTATTCTTATAGGCTCGCAATTCTTAGAATTTTCTTCCATTTTCACTCACAACCAACACCCCGCTGATTTTTGAGTGGAGGCCAGCTCATTTTATCTCAGCAACACCCAGGACCAAGCTCAGCTATGTTCAGTTATGTCTTTCTCACGCACATGAAGCGTTAATTTAAGCGTGTTGCCAACTTGAGTAATATCTCCTCTCCCTACTCTATTACTAATTTAATGCCATGACATATATTCGATATGCAGCCAGTTATATAAATACAAAATATTTGCATACATTTAGAATAATCTGTATATTATATTTGTATATTATATTTGTAAATGTAATTATATAATTATAAATTTGTAATTATATATAAATTATTTAACTAAATAGTTGACTTCAAAAAAGTTTATTAAATTTAAAAAATTTTAAATTTTAATACATTATACAAATTTTATATTTATTTATTATTGGAGTTCAAACCATTCGATTATTTATAGTTATAGTTTAAAGATTTGCCTATTGTTTTGTACAAGACAGATTGCAAATAAAAAGAAAAAAAAAAATAAATAAATAAATAAAATTATTGTCAGAGTAAAAAGGCAAGAGATGAATGAATAGAAAAATGTTACAAAAAATATTAATATTTAAAAAATTAATTATGTATTAACTTATTTTTATTATAATTTAATTAATTATTTAATTAATATTAATGTAATATTTAATTTTTTTATAATTTTTAATATTAATTTAATATATATTTCATTTTAAATATATTTATTACATTTGAAATAATATTGCTCCTGAAAATATTGCAAGCTTGCTGCTAAAATTGTTATACCCCAATACAGAATGCAGATTTAGCTTAATCGTAGCCATCTCCACGACTCTGTATGTGTTTGTGTGTGTGTGTTGGGCACATTGTGTGTGTGTGTGGAAGTCGTTTTGTGGCTCAGCAGTTAAATTAAATATTCTTGTCAAATGCAGCAGTCAGTGAGTCAGTTGCAAATGTTTTTCTAACAATTTCAAATATTTGCACCGCACTTCACAGATTTTAGGCTTTTAAATAATAAAATACAACAGCAGGAGAAGAAGAAGTAGTAGCAGCAGCAGCAGCAGCAGCAGTGAGAACAACAAGTAAAACCCAAAAACTAAAACAGAAATACTAGACGAAGCGCTGAGTGCCAGCAGGATGGAGGCAAGGACGAGAATGTCGGCTCCTATTTCGACAGCTTCCCGTGCAAAGTGTCTTTTTTGGTCGAGAAGTGCTCTACAGCTTAGATATTGTATGTGTTTCACTGTTGTATGTGTGTGTCTGTAAGATGGGTGCTCTATAAAACATTTGCTTGTGAAGTACGTACTTAAATTGCATTCAAGCTGAGCAGCATTCGTCCTCAAGTAA